CAATTTGTTAAAATTTTCACCTGCGCTAGTTTGATTTTTTTTTTTCTTCCCTCCCACACTGCTTTAGGGTGTACTTCAGTTCTTAGTATCTAGGAAATTATTATACATTCTTGTTGGCAACATATATCTCCTAGAGATGGAAATGTCATCTTTGTTTAGAATTAAAAGGTCATGATAGTATTTATTTCTGTGTGTGCATGTTTCTGTGTGTGGAGACCAGAGGACAGCCTCCAGTGTCATTCCACATTTTTAAGACAGTCTTTCTTTGCCTTGAAATCTACTGGTTCTAGACTAGATTGGCTGGCCAGCAAACTCCAGTCACTTGTCTGCCTCCTCAGTGCTGGGATTGCAAGTGCACACCGATGTGCCTGGCTTATTTTATATGTGTTCTGGGGACTGAATTCAGGTCTGCATGCTTGCTTGCTTGCAAGGCAGGCACTTTACCAGCTGAGTCATCTTCCCAGCCCCACTTCGTTTTTTTAATTGTTTCAAAATGAATTTTTAAATATATAGATTCTAACCTAGACTTTTATATTAGTAATTTTTTGGAGGATTGTGAAGCAACCGTACCTAAACCTGATAATAATGAAAGAAGTGGTCCTTTCCTGGGTCTCAAGTTTTAGGTGCCATTGCAGAATTGTGCCTTTCAATTTCAACTCCAAGTGATTTCTGGTAAATTGTGTGATATGTTCAAAAAACAGAGTATATTAACTTCAAAATTATGAGTACACAATAAGAGGCATCTGTTCCTTGGTTGAAGATTATGTTTTGAAAGTTCCTAGTTGATTTCAAAGAGAAAAGTTTTGTTTTTGAACAATATATCCAAATTAAGGAAGCATAACTTCTTATGACTACTGAAAAGGTTTGGCCAGAGAATGAAGCAGAGTACAAATTGAAATTTGATGGCTTTAGGAAAGAACTGCAACAAAATCTAATTGCTTAGCTCAGGAAGTAGGATTAGTAGAAGCTGTGGTTTTGACACTGCTTCAGAAGGCAAACTAGAGAAGACTTTCTCAATGATTGAAAAATATTGCATTTTGGGCATGTTGCATAAAAGTTTAATTTGTGGTCTAATAGGTTTTATAGTAGAAACCATGTTAAAGACTAGGTGTTTGTCAGTGACAGAATGTTTACCTGACTGAGGTCCTGGGTTCATTTCCTGCTACTGTGAGCATAAATGGCGTCTTGTGGGGTTGAATTAGAGATGTCAGAATTTCTCACTGCATTTTCCTTAACACCCATTAAGGTGTTAAGAGTAAGCAGAATAATAGAGCCACTGCTGTGCTTCCCTTTATTTTATAGTTTTGTTTTTTTTTTTTTTTCCTTTCTTTTTTGAGTAGGGTCTCACAGTGTAGCCTAAGTTGGCTTGGAACTGGCTTTAATGCTCAGTCTTGCCTCAGACTCATAGCAATATTTCTCCCTTAGCCTCCAGATTGTTGGTGTTACAGTTATGAGCCACCCTGCCTGACTTATAATTTCCTTTAAAAAATTTTTTTTATTGTCTTTTTTAAGTTTTTTATTTATTATGTTTATTTATGTTTATAAGTGTATTGCCTGCATGTATGTGAGTGCACCTGTGTCATGCAATGCCACGGAGGTCAGAAGATGGCTTCAGATTCCCCTGGAACTGGAGTTAAGGACGGTTCGTAGCCGCCATATAGGTGCTGGGAATCAAACCCAGGTCCTCTGCAACAGTCAGTGCTCTTAACCACTGAGCCATCTCTCCAGCCCCTATTTATTATCTTTTTGAGTCAGTCTCCCTGTAGCCCCAGCTGGCCTGGAACTCGATATGTAGACCAGGCTGTCCTCAATCTTCACAGAAATCCACCTGCCTCTGCCTCCCAAGTACTGAGATTAAAGGCCTGCACCACCATGCCTGGCTTTATTTTTTTTTTTTTATGTATGAGTGTTTTATCTGCATGTTTTGTAAGTGTAATGGCATATGAAGTTAAGAGTCTTACCCGGAAGTTAAAGGTAGCACTGAACATGTTGAAGAGGTTACAAATTTAGGACACCCCAGTAACGATCCACTGATTGATTGCTAGTTTTGCATTCAGCCCTTCTATGGGCTGAATGATCACCTTATCTAATACTTATTTTCTTGACTCTTTCCTACACCTAAATTATAAAAGCAGTTTTAATTTTTCTTTCTTTTTGCCAATCACTAGAGTGGTTTTTATGTTATAATTACCGACTAATAGTTACTAGCTATTGAAAATATAAAACAAAACCAAAATTGGTTGAAAGAAATTACAGTTCAGTGTCAGTTGAGTTGAGGGTTGACTGATGTCTGTGGTGGGTTTTTTTTCTATACATGATTATCAACATAAGATGAGAAGATAGGATGCTTTCAATTCTAAATGGTACAGTAAAAGGAACTTAAGATTAGAATATTTTTTCTTGGATAT